GGCAAATTTGAATTAGAATCATCTTCATCTTCTGATGCATCCCAATTTGCTAAAAATTGTCGAACATCAAGATCTGGCTTATCAGCAAAGTCTTTTGATGTTTTATGTTGTTCAGTCATAGTATCAGCATTCTCTGTACTTTTTTGTATTTTAAATTCAGTTTGTTCACTACATTTATGTATTAAAAGCTGGTCTTGATTTGGAAAACTATTTGGATACAGGGATGATGAATGCTCTTTTTGAGAATGATTAACTGATTGTTCAGAGTGTAGGTTATCTTCATTAGATAAATCAGATGCGCATAAATCTTGTTCTTTTCCCTGTTTTTCTAAATGTTTTGAATCTGAATTCAATGTATGTTGAGTTTTTGGAAAACCATCAGAATTTATTAAAACTCCATTTTGATCAAATTGCAAATTTATAGATGGAATAGCATTAACGGATGTTGATGGAATTCTTAAAGGATGTTGAACTGCCATTGGATATCCATGTGATTGTTGCAATTTTAATATTTCCCTGTATCTAAGAACAGATTCTTTATATTTTGGATGTGATTGATATCCAGGTATCCTTGTAAGTTCTCTGAGATGATTTTCCATAGAGGATCTTTGCATTGCAATTTTTTGCTGATAAGAATGGTATCGTGATGAAGTGTTATGCATAGGTGTAGGTTGCATTGTAGCAACTTGTTGTGGATTATCAAAAGTTTTTTGACAAGTATGTGGAAATTCTGTTGATACATTTCTTATAAATTGTGCAGTATAATAAGAATTCTGTGTGGAAGATGTAATATCAACACTGACATTTGAAGTGGGCACAGTCTTGGTTAACACATTACCTGTTGTATATTGACCTTGCTTAGTATTGTATTTTTGTTGTGCAATATAATTTTGTTCTGGATGTTTAAAAACAGTTGCATCTTGTAAACTCATATTATTTGGTTTTGGATACTCTTTCATAGGATAAGCATATTTCTGGCACTCTGTTGGATAATTATAATTTTGAATTGGATAATTTTGTACCATCCCTGATGGAGCTGGACAACCTCTAGACATTGTAGGATCTTTATTAGGATATTTATATTCTGGGAAGTTTCTTCTATGATCTGTATTAGAAATAATAGAATTTAACATTTCCTTATTATCAAAATTGTCTTTTCGAAAATTATGATCACTATATTGTCTATTTTCTGCCTGGTATCCAGGTAAACGCATATTTTCCCTATATGGTGTATTAGATTGATAAGTTCCAAATTTATCCCATTGCTGATAGCCTATATTTGTATTTGGATTGCAACACAACGCTTTACAAGGAATGAAAGATGAAGGTCCTTGTCTTACAGAAGACGTTGCACACATACTATTACTTCGTGATCCCATAGAAGTGGCAGATGTATTTATATTTATATTTGATCCATTTAAATGAGAATTTTGTCCAGGAAGCGCCATATGACTATTTCTGTATCTATAGTCATCATTAAATGTATTCATTGATCCATTTCTCATATCAACTGGGGCTTTTACATTATCCATAACAGAGTTTCTATTAACCATAGGACCATATTGTCCAATATAACTTTGCATTTGTACCATTGATGGTATTGCAAAGTTATCACTATTATTTGAGCCATTTGAAATATTATTCATAGGTGGAAAATGTCTTGAACTAAAGCTAGGTTCATTTTGGTATTTTTTATACCCTTCGGTATTAAGAGCATTTAATGAAGATGGATTACCACTAGACATAAATGCTAAACGATTTGCATTCACATTATGATCAGTAGATGTTACTTCATTTATATTCGTCTGCACTGAGTTATATTGATGCCAATCTGAAATATTTCCACCGTAGTTCATTGTACATTTTCTTTTTGCTGATATGTTATAAGCTTTTCATTCTATTTATATAAGTAGTTGTTTACAATTTCATACAGGACCAACATCTGTAAATATAAATTAAATTTATACGTTATCAGTAAAAAAAAATTAATGTTAATTTTATTTTTATTTTATTTTTTTTTAACAATAATATATATATATAATAGTAGTAATACTTCAATTATTTTTTATTATGAAAACAATAATGAGTTCAAATCTCAAATATACTCATTATTAACCAATAATAGAATATATCAATTTTTTTTATAAAATATTTTTAAATATATATAAAATATATTTGCATAATGCGTTTGTATGTGTATGTAAGCGTTCGCAATTGCGTATTATGTATATAAGTGCATATAATACTTATTTGCATATAGATCAGACAAATGCATCTATAATATATATATATACATATATATATATATATATATATATATATATATATATATATGTTGGCTCTTTTAAACTAAATTTATTCTACATACTAAATTTATTCTACATACATTACCATTTTATCCTCCATTTTAATTAGATACTTTTAAAACTAATATAATTTAATAACTTATAAAATTAAAAGCTATCTATCTATCTATTTTCCTATATATTATAACTGACTTTACAAAATAAAAAAGTTAAATTAATAATTTATTGCTAAATATAATTTTCATGATATATAATATATTAACTGCTTCACAAAAAATTATCATAATTTAAATAAAAATGTCGTATACACCAGTTGTTTACGTATAACGCAAGTGCCTATAGAATTTCAACTTCCTATACAGACCTTGAAACTGTAATACTTTACGTAGTTCACATATTTCTTATACCGATGAACAATTGCAATCATTATAAATTTATATAAATGCACTTTAACGATTTCTAATAATTGCATGCACTTCATATTTCTTAAATATATAATAACTATAATTATTTACATCAAATGTAACTTAAAATTACCTGCATTAACCATCAAACTCAACATGTTCGCCATATTGAACACGACTACATAAAAATTATAATTATGCGCCCTCTGATGACAGAAATCTATTTAAATCATAAAAAAATAATATATAGTAAGCAACAAAGATATAAGGAAATAACAATGTATATATGTATATATATAAGCATATAAATATAATTCAACTAAAATTTTATATAAATCTTTTTATAATAAATTTCTCTTTATAATAAATTTCTTTTTACACTTTTTTCTATATAAATATATAGATAGCATTAATATTTATATATATATATGCACACACACAAACATATATATGTATGTATATTCTAAATATAATCTAATTTTATAAAAATATCGAGAGAAATATATGTCTTTTTATCTATAATTCTTTTTTTTATTTTTATAGATTAATTTTTAAATAAAATTTAGATTTCGAAATGTTTAGTTTGTGATAGCCAATTATATACAATATGTATTATATCCATTAACCAATCATATCACAAAGATCTAAGTGAGTCTAGTGAGTATTAAATTATATATTTTGTATCATTGTAATAATATTTATTAATTCATTTTGTTTCATAATATAATAAAAGAATTTCTATTTTCAAATAATAATACAATAATGATGATTATAAATTTATTTGATTTAATAAATAATCAGTCACCGATGTCAAGAATTGACATTGATCAAACTAGTAACAATTTTACGAACAACGTGTTAGCTCTTTTATATGGAACCTTCAATCGGAGGAGGAACCTAAACTTTCTGTCGAATAAAATCCGAGAACATCTGATTTTAAATTGGTACAAAATCATAATTGTTAGTAAAATTACATTCATTTTTAAATTTTGACTAGGATTTACGTAAAATTTTTTTTTACTTTATAATTTTGTATGATAGAAAATATTTATATATACATTGTTAGGAATACATTGTGTGTTGATAATATTATAAACGTTTTATCTTTAATTTATGATATAACATTTGCGCATAAAATGAAAAAAATATGTGTTATACTTTAAATTAAATTCTATGTTAAATTAATGTTTCTATTTTGAAAATATATAAAGAATGTATATATTGTTTTTTTTAGGTTAAAAATGGCTAAATCTTCTGAAAAGAAAGGAAAGAGTGCAATCAATGAAGTGGTAACTCGTGAATATACTGTACATCTTCATAAACGTCTTCATGGAGTTGGATTTAAGAAACGTGCACCTAGAGCAATTAAAGAAATTCGAAAATTTGCTGAAAAACAAATGGGTACACCTGACGTAAGGATTGACACTCGTCTCAACAAACAATTATGGTCCAAAGGAATAAGGTAAATTGTTCTCTTTAAAAACTAAAAATATTGAGAAATCTAAAAAAATTAAATATTTGTCTATTTAAAAGCATTGCTAAAGTATACTCCTTCAATTTTATTCAATAGGTTGGATAATATTTTTTTCAATAAATATAAACTATGAAAAATATTTTTCTTTTGCAGGAACGTTCCTTTCAGAGTTCGTGTTCGATTAAGTAGAAGAAGGAATGATGATGAGGACTCGGCAAATAAATTATATACACTTGTAACATATATTCCTGTAGCCTCCTTCAAAGGCCTTCAAACAGAAAATGTGGATGCAAGTCAAGATTAATACCTTTATATTCAATAAATAAATTGAAACATTTATTAATATTAATTATTACCTTTACTTAACTAATTATAACTATTATAAATAATCATTTAGGCATTGAGTTATAAAATCAATATCATAAACATCTTAATAATATATAAATACGAATTTGGATTATTATATTAATAGTATTATGATAAATGGAAAAAAAGAAATTAAATATATCAGGTCGAGCTAATACTGATTTAAAAAAATTTTAATGTATTATACCTAGAGCAATATATTTTTATTTGATTTTTATAAATGATATAGTGTTCTATAAAATTTATAGATTTATGTGCAAACCATTTCTTAATTACAAATATTTCAATAGAACATATCTACGCATACTCCTTCCATAGTGACCTAAATTAAGCGCGTAGGTTTGAACGTAGAACATCTCCCGAACGTTGTAGGATTGAATAACGTTCGCAGCAAGCGCTTATAGGATCAACGGTATTACGGTGCGAGTTTTCTAAAGAAATATGGAGTTCGTAAGTGGGGGACTAACATTGGTTAAGACATCAAGATTTGCTGATGTGGATGCTGGGGAGTTGCTCTACCGCTTATAAAATCGTGATTTATTGAAAAAAAAATCATATATCGTGTAATAAATAAAATCAATCCTATAAAAATCAAAATATTTTCTTACTTTTTCAATATTAAAAAAAATGCGAGAACTTATAGCTTTTCAAATTTTATTCTTTCTAACTGTTTCGGCCACTGCAATTCCAAAACCAGAAGATGAGCCCAAACAACGTATATTGAATAAGGTAAACAAGAAATGAAATTGTTTCGTTTAACGCTTGATTAATAATAATAAATGAAAGCCCAATATAAATGTTTAAATAGTCATTGATTTATATCATATAATTCTTAATAAAGATGGTTTTGAAGTATATAACCTCAGATCATTTTTCTTTAAAAGATCTATTTTATATCAAATAAATAAAATAATATGAGAAATATTGGATTAAATTGTGAATTAGAAAATAAATATATATAGTTTGAATCAATAAATATACATAATATTCGTTTTATTGTAATATTATAAAACAATGATATCTAATAAATATTTGTATAGATCTATTATATATATTATATATATATATATTATATGTATTTATAATTATAGGATTTAAGTGATCAGGAGCATTATATTAACTCCCAGCATAATCCAAGTTACGATCATGAGGCTTTTCTGGGAGAAGATGCCAAAACATTTGATCAATTAAGTCCAGAGGAAAGTACAAGAAGACTAGGAATAATCGTTGATAAAATAGATAAAGACAAAGATGGATTTGTTACGAAGGAAGAACTTAAAGATTGGATATTATATACTCAACGACGATATATTCAAGATGATATTAATCGTCAATGGACATCTTATAATTTAGAAGAAAAAGATAATCTTCCATGGACAGATTATAAAGTCAAACTTTATGGACATATCAATGAAAATGAAAGTAATGATCAAGATAAATTAGAAGAAGAAACATTTCCTTATCAAGCAATGCTCAAAAGAGATCGCAGACGTTGGCATGCAGCTGATCTTGACAATGACAGTGCACTTACTAAAGAAGAATTTGCTGCATTCCTACATGCAGAAGAAGCAAATCATATGAAAGATATTGTAGTATTAGAAACTATGGAAGACATTGATAAGGATGGAGATGGAAAAATATCATTAGCTGAATATATTGGTAATTGAAATAATTGTAAATTATGATATTAACAATTCGTATATTGAAATGCATTATTAACTTTTTAGGAGACATGTACAGAGGTACAGAGGAGGAAGAAGAGCCTGAATGGGTTAAAAATGAGAAAGAACAATTTTCATCTTACAGAGATAAAGATCATGATGGTTTTATGGATTTTGAAGAGGTTAGTAAGCTATATCAAAATACAATATCTTATTGATTTTAATAAAAATATACTAATTGTGTTTGCCACATTTTTAATAGGTAAGAAATTGGATTATTCCTGCTGATTTTGATCATGCGGAAGCAGAAGCCCGACATTTAATTTATGAAGCTGATACAGATGCTGACCAAAAACTTACAAAAGATGAAATATTAGAAAAATATGATATTTTTGTTGGTTCTCAAGCAACTGATTTTGGAGAAGCGTTAACTAGACATGATGAATTTTAATGAGATTTTTATAATAAAATTCTTACCAAAAATTATATATCATAAGCTTTCATGACAAAGTATATAATTTATAATGTATATTTACCCGTATGAATCATGATGTTTTTATACAAGTTTGCTTGTTGTTATTAATATTATTAGCAAATATTATGAAATATAATAGTCATTGGATGGCTATTCAAATAAATCATGAGTATTTTAATCCTATATCTTTTTTATCAGTATATATATATCTACTAATACCTACTAATCTGCCAATACCTACTAATCTGCCAATTTTTTTAACAAATATGTTCTTTTCATACAATTTTCTAAATAATACATATGACTTGTGATAATTTCTAATATAAAAATATATGAGACATCAATTTATCTGATTATTGATCTTATCAGAAAAAGCTTGTTATCTCTATAGATTTGTAGCAGTATTAAGCACCTGTCCAATGTGAACCTGTCAATATGAATACTTGGAAGTTAATCATATTTTTAATATGCTATATGTGGCTTAATTTAGGTAATTATTACTTATTTACTAATCAATAGAAAATACGATAATTAGTATGTGTTGTTTATATGTCGTAGATTTATCGTTTGTTTAATATATTATAATACTTAATGATTTTTTACAGGAATCAATAGTTTAAGATCATATTGTTTTCAATTTACTTGGCCAGGGCCAATACCTTATAAAGAGTCTTTAAATAATACTTGTACAAAAAATAGCCATACTGGAGTACCATGTATAGAACCACTAATTTATGATGCATGTAAGTATAAATATATATATATTCATATTATGCAGTGTAATTATTAAATAGTATACATCTATATATTTTTTTTTTCAGCTGGTCCACCAAATACAACTGAAATATGGATTGATAATAAAAATAAAGAAATTACTCCAAATTCAACTATATGTATTTTACAAAAAGGTTTCGCATGTATTAAATATTCCAATGTTTACAATAATGCAAGTAAGTTTAATTTTGCTTCTACATAAATACAAATATCATCAACATTTTTTTATTTATAGTTATGTACACTTCCCATTATTGTGGGAGAATAATTGAAGACAATACAGTAGCTGTTACATCAGGATGTTTCAATTACCAAGTATATATATATTTTTTATTAATAGACTTATAAATCTATATACACATATGTATATGTTCTAATCTAACGTTTATTTATTTATATAGGCTGATGCTCATATAATTGAAGTTTGTGCTTGTCAATCTGTATCAGGAATGACACCATGTAACACGGCAACAAAACAGATTTCATCTATTTTAATATTATTTCCCAGTATAATAATATTATTTTATCATTTTCATAATACATAATAAGTAGCAAAATAATATTTAAAAAATGTAAAATACCTATATATATATGTTATAATTTTAATTATCAATAAATCAAAAAGATCAATTGATAATGATAATAATAATAATCATCAAAACTTGATGTCAGTTCGTAAAATAATATTACAATTTATATAATGCAATTTCATGAAAGGAAAATACACGAAACAAATATATAAATACAAATATTATTATTATTAACAAAATTAAATTTTTTATTATCAAGCTTATATTATAATATTATTGAAAATAAATGTGAAATATTTAACAATGTATTGTTAATACAAGATTCCCTTTAAAAATATATTAAAAAAATATATTAGTTATAAACACTTAATATAATATCTTAAAAAATATTCAAACATTTACCATCCTTAGTTCTGAATATCATAAACTTTACTCATTTCTACTACTTACGTTGATTATTTTACATGATGTTCGTAAATGCATCAAAAATAAATCAAGTCATGTTATAGTTAGTTTTAACCAAAGTAGATCGTTTTTCGTTTTAATTATATAAAAAATTTTAAACTATGTGAGAATTACTTAAACTTATTGTTCTTATCTTCTTCTTAATTATTGGAAGATCTTTAATTGGTCATATAATAGTGAAAAAAGTGAAATATTGCTTAGTTAAATTATTATTGTACAGATATGGTTAATTTTGAGTAGTTTTGAGAATAGTATCATCAATTTCTAATCGGGGTTTGGGAAAGTTCAAAAATAGTCGAACACACGGTGATAACTCGGCGCATGTTTTAACCTTGAATTTAGCTGTCTAATGAAGTAGAACATTAATTAATACGTAGTAAGACGAATGTTCTGTGTTTTTAGACGTGAAATATAGAAAATGGCTTCGAAGGTTACTTTGTGCCAAGCATTAGGTACAGATGGAAGTGATTTTAATCATAGGCAAAAAGTTGCAGGGCAGTATCAAGTCAGGTGAGCAAAATATAAATCTGATCCATGCTTTTGTCGATTAAATTAAGCTTATTAAATACAAGAAAATATGATTGTTATGTTATTAAATAATTATATCGATTTTAGTATCCCTTTATCCATGCAATTGTAATTCGACTAAATATCATTTATATCGTACATCAAAGAATAATTAATAGAATCAGTGAAAATAATCCCTTAAAAATTTATTTAAGATTTACTTTGTTGTTTTTATTCATAATTTTAAGTATATAATTGTGTTATTATTTTTATTATATTATTATATTAATTTTACATATATATTTTTATCTATGATATATTATATTGCATGTAAAATAAGTAAATTATATATATGTATTAAAATAGCTATGTCATAAAAATATGACAAAAATTAATAAATTAACAAGTAGTGATGTGTAATTATATATATATATATATATAGAGACATACATACATATATATATATATATATATATATATATAGACAGACATTCATACACACAGCATCATACATTTTTAAAATAAAAACATTTAATTAAATTTTTATCATAGTGTTGTTTTAATAAAATAATTAAGCTATCAATTAATATTTTCATCTTATAAGTGTACCAAGAGTTTACAAATTACCAATTTATATAGATTGCACGTATTGTGCACAGTATGCCCTTGTTTCCATGAGTATACCTATTAATAGCAGGAGGTTTTGCCCTTGGAGTCTAATGTTTTCTGATTTAATTTTGTTTTGGTGTTCTGTTTATATATAAAAGTTAAAAAGCCTATAATCAATTGTCACACAATTATTTTTATGTAAGAGAAATAAAAACTATTTATTAATGTAAGAAAAATATAATTTATGGTATTTATTATTTTATATTTTTAATTTTAAGAACATTTTTGTACTTATTATTTTAGATAATAGAAAAAGCGTTAAGAACCTCTGTGTTAAGTATTACTATTTTAATAGAATAAAGCAATAAAGTTTTTATAGATGTCACATAATGTTTATATATATATATATATATTCTCTTTTCAGCGTGACGAACAAATCACGATTAAAGTATTGCATATTTTTTCACTATCTTCTTTTCTTTGTTATGCTTGCCAAATTGTCAGCAGACATTTTAGATAGGCTTGATATTTTTATTCTGGAAATAGAAGAATTATTGATACCACAGGTAAGCTTGTATATAAACGTTTTTTTTTATATGATATATGACGATAGTTTAGTATTCTTTCTTCCATATATTCAATTTCATTGTACAAATATAGACTTTTTTTTATGTCAGCCATTGTGGTGGGAATATATATGGTGCACAAGTTTATTACTTTCTTTCCTTGCATTATCAGCTATTAAAAAGAATAAAATAAAGACACTTCAACGTTATATGATTGGTCTTATTGTGTTGGGTTATGGACCAATTCTATATGCTATGATATACTACTTTAAAGATGTTTGGAGATATTTAACTGTTGGTAAAACAGAAGATATTCAACTGTGGCAGGTAAATTATTTTTTTAATCAATGAATTGATATAATATGAAGTATTAAAATTAGCGTTTGTAATATAAAGAAAATAATTGTGTTAATTCTAATATATTATTATTAGATCAGAATCATTTTTCAATATAACAGAAGATATAAGATCAATATATTCGTACTTTAATACTATATATATATATATATATATATATACTATATATATATATAACCATGCTTTATATTATATGAAACTTATTTCAGGGTCTACCATATGGAATGTTATGGTATGCGTTTATTCTTTTAGCTTCTCAAGTTCATAGTTTTTCTTTATATTTTTCATGGAATCTTATAGTAGCTTGGAAAACACGTGGTGGTAAGAAAATACAATAAATAAAAGAATTAAATCAACAATTTTATCTTTATTTATGTATAATATCCACTATACCCTAAAAAAAAATCTATCAAAATCTTAATACTTTGCAATTTATAGTACCAATCGTATGACTTCGTAGAAATTTTAATTATGCGTATGTATAGATATGTATATATATCTGTATATATATATATATATATATTAGTTATGCAAATGTATAATTACATAATTTGAAAATGCATTCACAAATAACTAATAACTATAGTGTGCATTACATTTTTGAACTTATTTTTACTACGATCTAATACTTGTTATAAGAAAATACGTATTGTATATGCCTCTGCCAATCAAAACCTATCTTAAAACTTTTTACAAAAGTACCTAGATTATGAGAAGTATTTGATTAAGGTAAAATATTAAATTGCATATAACATAAAAATTAAAACTTAACATTACGATATATTCATTATCTTTTATACAATAAACAGATCATTTGCATCGAAGTAGTTTAATTCTGATTTTTTGTCCAAATGTTATTGGACAATATATCGGTACATTAGAATACATTAAAGAAGCTTAATATACACACATATACTTCGTTTTATGACTATAGTAATATATATGTATATATATATATATGCATGTATACGTTCAGCCAAGATTTACTCAAATGTTAATAAGCTAATGTAAATTCATTATACGAGATTGGCGCCAAAAAAGAATATCCGTTGTTACATCCAAATGAGGCACTACTTTAAACTGGTAAATTCAAAACAAATGTGAATTCTAAGTACAACCAATATATTTGCGTTTTATTTTTTTTTTTATTGGTATATATTCAACGATCGTTTAAAAAAAGTTAAGTGAAAATGAAATTAAATTGTAATGTTGAAGTTAATAATCGAATGCACAATTTGACAAATTTATCGATAAGAAAAAAATCACAACGTGGGTATTTGGTTATTGGAAGACAATCTATAAAAAGCAATGAATTATATATTTTATTACAAACAGAGCAGAACAAATGTGGAACTAAGTATAAGGTAATATTTCTTATATACATATATGTATATATATATGATGATTTATATTTATTTCTTAATGTTTATCTTATAATTTTTAGGTGAATGATAATATTGAAATGATATTTGTGAAATTTATTGAAAATGGGAAAGCAACAATTAGAATAAAAGAACCTCCTCATGACTTAATTATACAGAGCGATGCAATACCATTAAAAAGTTTTATTCATGTTTTAAAGCTTGCATCGTCCAAAAAAGTAAATTTATCAACTCTTGCAATATCTAATTTAAATGGCAAAAAGATTGGTAATACGCAAAAAACAAAAATAACTATAAAAAAGAATTCTGAATATCCTACTTTACAAGGTTTTCCAAGATTTACAGAAGAATTACACATCATAGGATTAGATAGGAAATCATTTGATCTTCAAATTTTAAAACTGAATCGTTTAAAAATTTTGGATCTATCAAACAATCAAATAACATCCTTACCTAAAGATTTAGGTTCTTTGCCGCATTTACAACAGCTTATTTTGTCTCAAAATCAACTTGGCAAAGCTGCTATTTCTAAATGGACATGGCTGGACCAAAGCAATATCAGAAATACTTTATGCTTATTAGATTTAAATTGTAATTTCGTAAGTTAAATTTTAATAATTTATATAATTTAATATTATAAAGGCAAAGAATTTTGAGTTAATTTTTACTTCTTAATTACAGTTGACTGAAATACCTGAGAAGATTGGAAAACTCAATGCTCTTGTTAATTTAAAACTAAGTTGTAATTCGTTAATATATTTACCACAAAGTATGGGAAATTTAACTTCGCTCAAATATTTGGATTTATCACAGAATAGTTTACAATTTTTACCAGGAAGTATAAGGAAATTACGGCTACTGGAAATAAATGTATCTGGAAATTCGTTTTCAACAACTAAGCCTTCTTATGCATGTATAGTACAATTACCAAGCCTTGTTGAGTGTGCGGCAAAGATATTTTTGAAAACAAGGTTTGCTATATATATTTTATTATATTATTTTATTATAATTATAAATGTTGTTTTTGTTCAACTAATAATAATAGTAAATAAAATCATATTATTTTTACAGGATTAGCTACAATGCAAATTTGATACCTAACACACTGGTCAAATATTTAGATTCTGCAAAATATTGTGTATGTGGAACAGCTTGTTTTCAATACTTTTTAAGAAAACAATTATATTTTAATTTAAATTCAACTATATGTAGTGTAAAGTTTTCAGATAGTAGTACTGTACCATATGATTGTTTCTTTTGTAGTTTACAATGTTTCAGATTTTATTCTAAAGTAATGTCTTGAAGTAATATCGCCTTATTATTTACATGTAATTTTAAATTATAGTTTTTTGTATATATATAAGTTATAGTTTTTTGTATAAATGTTACAATTATCTTAAGGTACAAGTAAAAGAATTTAAAAGTTTAATCTATTGTAATATATTTCATCTATTTTATTTTGCATATTTGATTTGTTTCCATCTATACAAAATTTAAATACTATGAGCGTTATACAATATCTATGATCCAAATGGCAATGGATATTTTTTTACTTGTAAGTACTTAATCCTAATAGTAATTTTGTAGTAACTTTATAGTGATAACTTTTATATTTATAATTGTAAAATAAAATTTATATGAATAATACAAAATATGTGTGCGCGCGCGCGCGCGTGTGTGTATACACACATATATATATCGTATGTATAAAAATTAATTTTTTTACAAATACAAATGTATATTTATATCAAAAATTTATACATGGTAGATGTATATTACTTCATGTAGTAAATAATTAATTACATTACATAAAGCTATTGACAATATTATATTAATGTTTTACTAAGCTTTTTGAAGATGTAAATAAATTTAGTTTAAGATTTGTATACAAATATAATTTGTTTTTTTTCTAGGTAGTTTGTTTACTTTCGATAATCATATAAGACTATAATAAAAAAAATAGATTGTTTCATTATTTACACTATATTATCTTCATGTCAATTTGTATAGGTTTAAAATATTTTATCACGATCATGAAATCTTATATAATTTGATAAAATATTTAGCTTACAAATACTTTTTTAAAAAATAACTTTTTTGGTGTTCTTTAGCCTTATTTATATTACTTTTTCAGTAATATAACAGCTCATACTTCAAGCTCTAATATCTTTCAATATTAGAGCTTGAAGTATGAGCAATAATACATTTTATGCATACTTCTTAAACTATACTAAACCTTCTAAACTATATAAAAAATCATATTTAATACTAAATTTATAAATATAATTATTTGTTTTCTACATTTCTTTTTATAAAATTAAATGACATATTATCAGTCTCATTAATATAATATTGTTTTGGAGTAACTACTTCCTTTATTCCGACATAATCTATCATTAAGTTAGCATGATCTTTTGATTTTTTCATTAGTTGTAATGGATGAATATATATATCTGGATCTTCTGGATGCTGTATTAAATGATTTCCAACAGCAATATCTTCAGTCTAATAAAAATTAAATAATTTTGTGAAGCAAATTTTTCTTTAACTTCAATTTAATAAACAATGAAAGCACATACATAAATGTTTAATTAAATAACTATTTATAATTTAGGTCAAGTTATCTGTTAGTTGTAATTGTAAACAGCTAATTTTAAACAGAATACTTTTATTTATTGAATAGAAAATCTACTAATATAAAGAATAGAGAATGCTTAACTTTATGATTAGTTCTGCTGTGAAGATAGTTAATAAAAAAAATTAAAAGAAAAATTTGTATGTTTTGAAGAGCTAATGTAGTTAATATATTTGTAATAAATACATTATTGTACATGTTTTTATCAAGATTAATAACTTATCTCCACTATAATTACATTTCTGTCTTAAAATCTGTTTTTAAACATATGTTCATTTAAAAAAAAATGTATTTTCACAAATGAATTTATGTTGAATAAATTTATTTAAATGTGCTTGAAAATAATTGAGATTTTAAATTAAATGAAAAGTAAAGTGAAAGTAAAATCTTTTATAAATTAACACATGTTTCACACTTACTTGAAGATCAGACTGATTATGGAATGTTTCATGTTTTAAACTTGGTATGTGCAAATCTTCTGTAGTAATTTGCTTACTGTTTAAAAGTCCTAAGATTAAAGCATTCCTTGAAAGCTTACACTGTTTTAAAATTTCTTGAATAGAATGGCAATCTCCATTATTTTCAATATTTTTTCTCGATTTATCTGTATTAATATTCTGTACATTTGATGACTTGGTGTTCTGTACATTTGATGACTCGATGTTCTGTACATTTGATGACTCGGTGTTCTGTATATTTGATGACTCGGCATTCTGTACATTTGATGACTCGGTATTCTGTACATTTAATGACTCGGTATTCTGTACATTTGATGACTCGATGTTCTGTACATTTGATGATTTAACATCACTGTTATAATCAGAACTAGTTTTACTGTTTGATATATTAGCGTTATTGTTCTCTGTATTTAAATTGTTTTTCATTTGTTTTAATTCCCATTGATATTCTAGAAATTTATTAGAATAATTTATTCCACCATTTACCTATATTTACAAAAACATAAATAAATATTCATTAAATATACACATAATTATTATACTATATATAAATAAAGACTTATATAGATAAAATATTAATTATAAGAAAAGAAAATATTTACATATTATATTTAATAAATATTTTGAAGTATTACACTTACAGCTTTTATAGAAGAGAATATTTCATTTTCATTTAAATAATATTTTGAATCCATATCATTTGATATATCTGAAATATCTGCTTCTACTAACTAATAAAAAAAATATTTGTAATTAATCTTCCTAAATTCATTATTACATATCATAAGAAAGAATATTATTCTAGATATTACATCAAAAATGATCTAGCTATAACTAACAGCTCTAACTTTTTAATTAACCGACATTTAATTGTATTTTTTGAATTTTTAACATTATAATATAAGGTTTTAAATGCGATGGAGTATATATTGCTGTTATACAGTAGTATATTAATATACATGTTTTAATAAATACATAATATAATATAATTGAATATAAATAAATAAAATAGATGAACTTAGCTAACCTGTATATTTCTTGGTATTTTAACATTCTTTAAATTTATGTTACGATCAAGCCAAGATTGGTCCGGTTTGTCAAGTCGAACAAAATATACATCTTCGTCTGTTCTTGGTATTTGAGTAACCTTTACAATAGCATCATGTATGTTTATGTTATTCATATTAATTTTATTTTATTAATTTTTTCATAGAATTTTGTAACAAATATAATAGATTCTGTAAAAATAAGCATACAAAGTTACATAAATATTAATATTAATATTAATATTAATATTAATATTAATATTAATATTAATATTAATATTGGTATTTTAATTTTATAGAAAATAGCATATTATATAATTAAAAAATTATACATATTTATTATATATTGAATATATCTCATTACACAGTAATTTCTATTATATTTGTGAATATCATGAAAAAGATATCTCATAAAGAAAATATAAATTGGAGAGTTTAAAAAAGGTTTATTAAACAATTAAAACATAAACAATTTAATTGTTTAATAAGATTTAGTTTTTTATTTTAATTTTGAAAACGTTATAGGTCAAAAAAGAAAACATTATATGTCATTAATATAACTTTTCGTATTTTTCTTTTTTATATATGAAACTTATATTTTTTTTAACACTTACATATTTTATTTAAGTAAATATGACTTTTCAAATATTTTCAGATAATCGATTTCCCACACGGGTTAAATAAAATTTATTAAACAAAAAAAAATTTAACATTTCAAATGGTTAACATTAATATTTCTAACCAATCAAAAGTGTGTAAGATACAATTCGCTACCTACAATATTGTCTTTAAACATAAAAAGTTTATATGTGTGTTTCATTGGCGCCATTACAAACAGTGAAGGATTTAGCTTTCGAGAGGCCTGAGTCATTATAAATTTTTAAGGATCATTAAAATAAATCGATTATGCATAATATGTATTTTTTCGTTTTAATTGTTAACACAAATGATAAAGTAAGAAATACATTGCTCAGATTAAATTATAGTCATGGATATAGAAATAATAATTGTATATTAGCCATCAGATATTACATTAAATTTTTTATGTAATATAAATTAATATTATCGCATGGAGATTATTTCCACGGCTTATGCACGAATACATCACTGACTACAGGTGCATGCGTAATCTGTGTTTTGACCTTGAATCAAATTCAAATTATAAATCAAATTTTAATATTATATATATATATATATATATTAAAATAATAACATATATTTTTGATATTAGATATTAAAATTTAAATCTCCAGAACGACTATTACTAATAATGCGATATCGAGCTAATAACTTCACTAAGCACTTTTATAGTTTCATTTGTAAACTATAATGAATTAATCTAAATATTGTGTACAAAATGCTATTTTTATTGACTTTTATTACTGAGATATTATATACATTAATTAATTAATAATTATACATGTAAAAATGTATAATTATTAATAACATAAGTAAACATGGAGAAAGGAGAAAAAAATATAATTTATCGATGGTTGTAAAGTAAATAATTTGACTATTTCTATTTGGTGTCATAATTTTTGAAACTTTCCGCTAGATGACACTGTTGTACTTCTTATTCATACTTACATATTATTTACTTATATGGCCGTGTTTAACAAATTTAATTATAAATCTTACAAGATTTTCTATATAATTTCTAACTAAATTAAAAATATACATGTTTCATTTAGATTATCTTGTGAAAGAAAAAATAATGAGAATGATTAAACTTTTGTAAAAGTTTTGTACAAATAAAAGAAAATTGCAATCGTGCCTAAATATTAAAAAATATTGACATCGAACATTTCAACGAAAAATGAATAATATTTTCCATAATTTTTGTTGCTGAATATAAAAAATGATATATTAAAAAATGTAAAGTTATCTAAGAAAAACAATACAATCTTAAATATATTTATTAATCTAAAATATATTTATACTATAATAGTGTAGGAAGAGTATTGTATATGTTATAAAATATATATATATTTATTCTTATATTCTATAACATATAATAATATTAAATATGTTAATAGAAAACAAAATTTATGAATTAGTATAAGTGAATGAAGATAACGTATTTTTTTAAGTAGATATTTATAACATTTTATTTTTGTTTTTTTCATAAATCTTTATGTCTTCTTTAAGCAATATATCTAATTTGATTAGATATTTAAAATAACAAGCAATTATCTTTTTTAACTAATTTTTAATTTGGAAAATTATGTATTAAAATTTTTTTTTTCAAGAATTATATTTTATCAATAATCATTAAAATTTTACCTGAGAATACAGGTGGATATTTCTTTTACTAGTTAGCAAAATATTAGATCTAATTATACAATAACTTTAATAGTCTAAGTGTTATTCTTAGATAACCCTGGAAGCTGCAATTTTATGTGACCTTGACAATTCGAAGTATAGTACATTGGCGTAGCATATTGTCGATGAGATAAACTGTAAAAACTTAATATATAAATGACTGTAAGAAAAATATATATGATTCTTCTTTTCTATGTTATACTTCCATATTATGATCTTATTCATACGAAAGTATAATTACTAACTAAGAAAATAATTATCTACAGAGATATCGTAATATGTACTTTCTTATCTGCATGTAAATATGTACATATGCAGATGCAACAACTAAATTCTTAAAACAGAATATCTTATCACATCTTATATGTTTAATTGCATACGTAATCAAGAGATTTTTCTAATTTTGATATCAATGTATTTGATATGAATTTGTTTTTGATAAAATATAATAGGTAAAATAATCAAAAATTACACGATGAGTTAATAATAAAAATTATAAATCAAAATAATTTATTGATGAATGACGACGATAATTATAAAAAAACGAAAAAAAAAAAAGATAGAAGATTGAGATTCACTTACAATTATTTGCCGTATTTAAAACTTTTTTCGAATGTTCGATTGAATACGAATGATGCCAAAAGTATAAATTTCCTTCTAAAAAAAATCTTCTAATTTCCCTACTTAAAGACTCCTTTCTGGAAAGGAAAGAATAAAAAATGTTATGATTGATCAAAAGTATATATAAAAAATTTTTATATATCTTTCTTTATTGTATTTCTTAATTTTTCTTAATTTTTGAAGATCATGTCTGTTAGCGGATATTTATATATATGTATAATCGATACATAGTTAGGGAAGGAAGATCATAATAAATATTTTTAAAGTATTTCTCTAACTCCGAAAGGACATTAATTTTTATTTTTTATTTTATGACAGTATCGAATAAAATTAAGTTCTACGATCTTATAACAAGTAGAGATAATTTAAGCGGTCTATGTTTTTGAGCTTAAAAGCGTCGTCATTTAAAAGTGTAGGCATTTAAATATCTAAGGGTCTCAAGTACACACTTAAAAGAAGATATTCAAAACTTATGAATGTAGGATTTGGACGAAACCAGCTTGAAATGAAAGAGTTTATATACTAATGTACTATACATATAAAATATTAAACGTTTCTGGCCACGAAACTTTTTTCTTCTTAATTTTTCAAAAAATCGATATGCAGTTTGACATTTTTATGTTACCCTAATTATATCTGATTTTTAGAACAGACTAACAGAATTCGACGTGATAAAAATAAAAGGTTCTTTGACATTTCTCTCGTGCATGAATAGTTTTCCATTAAAAATAAATATTTTTTCAAAAATTCATATACAAACCATAAAATTAACACATTTAAAATATTATATATATATATATATATATATATATATATATTTATTTATTTATTTTCGATTGATTTTCTAATGGAATGTGTATAATGATAAAAATTATGTATAATGATAAAAGAAAATGTATATGATAAAAGTTTTTATGTAATTTTAAAAATTAATTATCTACTCTTTTTCAAGACATTTTAGGCTAATCTTTTTTATTCTTTTTTTTTTCAGTAAAATCTTTCCTTCATACGTAAAAGAACAATTTGAGGAGAAAAAGACTTAAGCTTCGGGCAAGCGATAAGAGGGTCGAAGTGGTATGTAACATTTTTCGTAGCCGTGTTTAAAATGAAAATGATGTTAAAATAATATAATATTGTTTTCTCAAAAAGTCGAATTTTTCAAAAACTCTTTGTAATATTTTTCAAATGTATTATTCTCGTGTTATACCTATTGAACGGAATGTTGATTCCATGTTAATTTTAAAAGATGTGATTCCACATTTATCTGATAATAAGATTACGTATGTCCAGATAAATCGAATACACATATCACTTATCTCTTAATACTATTCCGTACTAGAGGTTAGTTTTATTTTTAATTATCGTATAATGGTGCTTTGAAAAATTTTCTCAAAAAATTACTAGTTTAAATTACATTTAATGCTTTTCAAATTATGATTTCATCGATTTCATTCGAGTTTTAATGTATGAAACTATCCGATTAAAGATAAAACTGATGAAAAAAATGATTAATTATAATTATTTATTATTTTCTGAATATAAACGTGATAAAGACAAAAAAATATTCGATGAATTTATCACAGAGAGATACATTATTCAATCTTACGAGTACTTAATTATATTACATCCATATGGATATATGTATATAATATTTGTGTTCGTTCGATTTTAATTAAAAATATCTTAACTGAAAAAAAATAGAAAACGTTTTATAATCTGTTTTGATAAAGAAGATATGGTCGAGTTATGCTTTAAAAAATATATTATCAGATATTAAAAATTTTTTAAACTTATATATTACTATGAATAAACTTGAAATGTATTTATTGTATATAAACGTACGTGTGCCTTATATGCAAACGTATGTGTATTAAATTATTTTGATGGGTGAAATTTTTTCAAATTTCAAAATTACAAGGTAGATTGAAGATAATCTGAAAAAAAGTTATTTTAAAAATTCTCGAAAAAAAAAGAAAAGTAATTGGTTTTTGAAATTACCTAGAAACTTTTCGGCCATTCTCCATATATATGTATATATGCATTAAAACCGGTCCTAGTGAAGGTCAACAAAATACTGATAACCCTGTGAAAAATATATATTCCAGAATTTTATGAAAATATTGAATGAAAAGATTCCATGTGAGGGAAAAAAAAGTAATTTTAAAATCTACGTATATTTCTCTTCGATATATAATAATTTCTTCTAAAATTTTACTGGTCAGACAAGCGGTGAGGACGGAGAAAAAAAAAGAAAAAAGACAAAAATAAATTATATAAATGACCGCGACGATATAATGACAGTTGTCGATAGAGACTGATAGCGCAAAAATGTTGCAAATCATAGATACTTAATTCGTATCTGCGGTTAGATCGCATATATATGTATGTATACATATATACAGGTATCACGAAATTGCATACATGTGCATCCAATGCTGTTGTCGATTACAGAAACGAGAATCAGTGGAAAAAACATTCGATTCGCGTTCTATGTAATATGTGAAACTTGATATCGTTAGGATTGGTTGCTATATTGAATCATGAATAGTATCTTTAAACTTGCATAGATATATTTTATTCTATTCGTATAACATATGTTACATATATATACATATATGCAATAATGTTATAAAAACGTGTAATAAAGATATGAAGAAATACGAATACTCAAGGAACATAACAGATCCTAGAAACGTGTTATTTACAATTAGTCGAAAGAATCGTATGTGAAATTAGGTAAGTAGATTAATGAAAGTTTGCTCATGAAAAAAGATGCAGGTTGATTGGAATGAAATGTAAGTATTTCAAGCAAAAGTCATTCGACGATATAAATATATAGCTATCATATATGATGT